TGCCTTTAGACAGCAGGCTCTGAATCCAGAATCAACCTCCCCCTTGGATTCTTTATGTTTGTGGTACTATGGCTCTTTGGGTCTTCCTCATACATTTCAGCAAAAGCAGCTGTGTTCCTGCTGTCAATTTTATCTCAAACATCTGTCATCTCTAGTATTCTCTTGACCGGTATGTGTATGTGTTGAGAGTTGGGAGCCTACTGGATAAGCTAGCATGGGGAGATAGTACGGCACAAACCACTCACTGTCTGTGCCCCCTGGCCCACTGGCAAGTCTTATGAAAAATAAGACTGTGGACCCCCCGCGCCCAGTTCCATGCTTCAGCAGAAGGGGTCTAAAGAGCTCTTCGCTGGCAGATTGTGCTCTGAAGACAGGGACAGGGTGTGTCTGCGCCCTGGTCTACACTACAGGGTTAGGTCGAATTTAGCCGCATGAGGTTGATTTTATAATGAATGCGTCCACACAAGCAATCCCGTTCCGTCGACCTAAAGGGCTCTTAAAATCAACTTCTGTCCTCCTCCCCGGCGAGGGGAGTAGCGCTAAAATCAACCTTGCTGGGTCGAATTTTGGGTAGTGTGGACACAAATCGACGTTGTTGGCCTCCAGGAACTATCTCAGAGTGCTCCAATGTGACAGCTCTGGACAGCACTTTCAGCTCTGAGGCACTAGCCAGGTACACAGGAAAAGCCTTGGGAAATTTTGAATTTCATTTCCCGTTTGGTCAGCGTGGCGAGCTCAGCAGCACAGGTGACCATGCAGTCCCCCAGAATCGCAAACGAGCTCCAGCATGGAGTGAACGGGAGACGCTGGATCTGACTGCTGTATGGGGAGAAGAATCTGTGCAGGCCAAACTCCGATCAAAAAGAAGAAATGCTAATATAGATGCCAAAATCGCACAGGGCATGATGGACAGAGGCTACAACAGGGAAACACAGCAGTGCCGCGTGAAAGTCAAAGAGCTCAGGCAAGCCTACCAAAAGACAAAGGAGGCAAACAGTCGCTCTGGGTCAGAGCCCCAGACATGCCGCTTCTATGATCAGCTGCATGGCATTCTAGGGGGGACCCTACCACTACCCCACCACTGACCGTGGACACCTGCAAGGGGGGAGTCTCACACAACGTGGAAGAGGATTTTGTGGATGAGGAAGAGGAGGAGGAGAATGCACAGCAGGTAAGCGGTGAAATCTGTTCTCGGCAGCCAGGACCTTTCCCTCACCCTGCAGCCAATAGCCTCCCAAGGCGGGATCCCCGACCCTGAAGGCGGAGAAGGCACCTCTGGTGAGTGCACACTTGTAACTACAGTACAGGGTTTAAAAGCAATCGTGTTTAATTTGCCCTTAAGACTTGGGATGCATTCGTGGCCAGTACAGCTACTGGAAAAGTCTGTTAACGTGTCTGGGGATGGAGCAGGAATCCTCCAGGGACAACTCCATGAAGCTCTCCTGGAGGTACTCTGAAAGCCTTTGCAGAAGGTTTCTGGGGAGGGCTGCCTTATTTCCTCCTCCACAGTAGGACACTTTATCACGCCAAGTCAGTAGCAAGTAGTCTGGAATCATTGCAGCACAAAGCATGGCAGCGAATGGTCCTGGGTTTTGGTTACGTTCAAGCAACATTCGGTCTATATCTTTCTGTGTTAGCCTCAGGGGAGTGATATCATTCATGGTCACCTGGTTGAAATAGGGGAATTTTTGTAAGGGAACAGTAAAAGGACCCCGTTCATGCTGCTGTTTGCACTTGGCTAAAAGGGATCATCCCTGAGAACAGCCACACGGAAGGGTGAAGGGATCATCCCAAACAGCCACACGGAAGGGTGCGGGGAGATGTGTGCTGCACATCCACCCGAAAACTGCACCCCGCTCCTTTTAAATGGCAAACCCAACCGCCAGTTCTTGCTATGGGAAAGGAGGGCACTGCAGTTTGAAAACATTCCCACAAGTTATGAAGGCATTAGAACCCAAACCCGCATAGCCTTTGGCTTACCATGGCTGCCTAGAAACCGAATTCTGTTGCCCAGCCATGTGTGATGTGTCACCATACTGGCAGGCGCTCAATATAAAAGGCAAAATGCGACCTTGTACCTAAAGCCCATGTGCTGTCTGCTGTGAATTGCTTGATTCACTGTGAAAGAGTCTCACATTTCTGAGAAGAAAAGGATCATCTTAACTTTTACTCTCCCTTTTTATCCCCCCACAGGTGCAAAAGTTTCTGTGCTCTCCCATCATCTCCTTCCCTGAGGTTATCGCAGATTAGAAGGCGAAAAAAACCACACTCGCGATGACATGTTTTTCTAGCTCATGCAGTCCTCCTGCACTTATAGGGCACAGCTGAATGCATGGAGGCATTCGGTGGCAGAGGCCAGGAAAGCATTAAGTGAGCGCGAAGAGCAGAGGCAGGAGACGATGCTGAGGCTAATGGGGAAGCAAATGGATATGATGAGGCGTCTGGTGGAGCTGCAGGAGAGCCAACAAGAGCACAGACCCCCGCTGCATCCATTGTATAACCACCTGCCCTCCTCCCCAAGTTCCATATCCTCCTCACCCAGACACCCAAGAACATGGTGGGGTGGCTCCAGGCAAGCAGCCACTCCACTCCGGAGGATGGCCCAAGCAACAGAAGGCTGTCATTCAAACAGTTTTGATTTGTAGTGTGGCTACAATAAGCAAAGTGGCCTTGTCCTTCCCTCCTCCCCCACCCCACCCAGGCTACCTTGTCAGTTATCTCACTTTCTTTTTTAATTAATAAAGAATGCATGATTTCAAAACAATAGTTACTTTATTTCCTTTGCCAGCTGTGATCAAAGGGGGGAGGGTGGTTGGTTTACAGAGAATTAAAATCAACAAAGGGGGCGGGTTTCCAGCAAGGAGAAACACACACAACTGTCACATCATAGCCTGGCCAGTCATGAAACTGGTTTTCAAAGCCTCTCTGATGCGCAGCACACTTAGCTGTGCTCTTCTAATCGCCCTGATGTCTGGCTGCTCAAAATCGGCCACCAGACGATTTGCTTCAACCTCCCACCCCACCATAAACGTCTCCCCCTTACTCTCACAGATATTATCGAGCACACAGCAAGCAGCAATAAGAATGGGAATGTTGGTTGCGCTGAGGTCTAACCTAGTCAGCAAACAGCACCAGCGAGCTTTTAAACGTCCAAAGGCACATTCTACCACCATTCTGCACTTGCTCAGCCTATAGTTGAACTGCTCCTTACTACTGTCCAGGCTGCCTGTGTAAGACTTCATGAGCCATGGGAGCAAGGGGTAGACTGGGTCCCCAAGGATAACTATTGGCATTTCAACATCCCCAATGTTATTTTCTGGTCTGAGAAGTAAGGCCCTTATTGCAGCTGCTTGAAAAGCCCGGAGTTCCTAAAAATGCGAGCGTCATGCACCTTGCCCGGCCATCCCTCGTTGATGTTGGTGAAACATCCCTTGTGATCCACCAGTGGTTGCAGCACCCCTTGTGAAGTACCCCTTGTGGTTTACGTACTGGTGGGCAAGGTGATCTAGTGCCAAGATAGGGATATCCGTTCCGTCTATCACCCCATCACAGTTAGGGAACCCCATTGCAGCAAAGCCATCCAGTATGACCTGCACATTTCCCAGAGTCACTACCCTTGATAAGAGAATGTCAGTGATTGCACTGGCTACTTGGATCACAGCAGTCCCCACAGTAGATTTGCCCACTCCAAATTGATTCCCAACCGACGGGTAGCAGTCAGGCCTTGCAAGCTTCCACAGGGCTATCGCCACTCGCTTCTCAACTGTCAGGGCAGCTCTCATCTTGGTACTCCTGTGCTTCAGGGTGGGGGAAAGCAACTCACAAAGTTCAAGGAAAGTGGCCATATGCATGCGAAAGTTTTGCAGCCACTGTGAATCATCCCATATCTGCAACACTATGCAGTCCCACCAGGCTGTGCTTGTTTGCCAGGCCCAGAATCGGCGTTCCACTGTATCAACCAGCCCCACTGCCGCCATGATGTCCCAATTGCCACAGCCCGTGCTTTCAGGAACGTCTGTGTCCATGTCCTCCTCACAATCGTCCTCGTGCTGGCGTCTCTTAGCCAGGTTCTACACATACTGGAGGATAATGCGCAAGGTGTTTACAATGCTCACAACAGCAGCAGTGAGCTGAGCGGGCTCCATGCTTGCCATGCTATGGCATCTGCATGGGTAACCCAGGAAAAAAGGTGTGAAACAATTGTCTGCCGTTGCTTTCATGGAGGGAGGGGAGACTGACGACATGTACCCCAAACCCTCCACGACAATGTTTTTGCCCCATCAGGCATTGGGAGCTTAACCCAGAATTCCAATGGGCAGCGGAGACTGTGGGAACTCTGGGATAGCTACCCACAGTGCATCGCTCTGTGAGTCGATGCTAGCCACGGTAGTGAGGACGCACTCCGCCGACTTAATGCGCTTCATGGGGACATACACAATCGACTGTATAAAATTGATTTCTAAAGATTGACTTCTATAAAATCGACCTAATTTCGTAGTGTAGACATACCCTAACTCCTTGAAGAGTTATGCCTGTGGTTAGAGGACAGAATGGAGATTGGCTCCATAAGTTGACTGAGGACTCACTCAGCATTCATGGGTTTCTTGACCAACTAGCTGGCTGAACTGGGAATTGACTTCTGCTATCCCAGGTGGTAGGAGTTGCAGTGAGCTGGACATCACAGCCTGGACCGAGCAGGTAGGAACCAATTACCTCACCCTGGCAGATGCAGAAGAAGCTCAGCATGGCTGGAAGTTGCTCCATGCAGTCCTCACCTGGACCGCCCTCGCATGCCCCTTCTCCTCCCCTGAGATTGCAAATAAATAAACCGTCCGGGAGCCACACAACACGTTTTTACAAAAGAAAGTGAAAAAAGAAAAAGAAAAAATACTGTTTATTTCACACAACTACATCAAGTGCATCAGTCTAACAGAGCAAGACAGCCAGACCCCAGACTGACTCCCCACCCCCATGGAGCCTGTCCCTCCCTCCTTGTACAACTTACACCACCTCACACGGCACTCTGAAATCCACCAGCTTCTCTTGAAACTAGGCAGTGGTGTTAACTGAAGCAAAGGGGAATGGCCCGCCCAATGAGGACTGGCTTAGTGCGGGGAGCCCTGGAGATTGGAAGCTGGAGACACAGGACTGGTGATAGCATGTTGGGTTCTGATTGACCCGGGGCGGCGGCATTTAAACCACCTCCTGCTACAAGGATGATAATGAAACCGCTTTTGCTCCCAGTCCTGCCCACCACTCTGGCCGTGTCTGGAAATCACTGAAACACTCATCTCTTAGGGCAGGGAAAGAGGGAGATGGATCACCTTTATTAGGGAGGAATTTGCCTGCCAACCCTGCCCTAGCTATTCCAAACGGAGGTGGAGGGACAGCAGATCCGGAAAGGTACTTCCTGAAAAACAAAAAATCACAACCCTCCCTCTAAGAAACCTTCTTTGGACAGATTCAGATGCGCCCCTCGAGCACCCCGTTCTGCTCTGAACGGGGCAGAGGTTTGGGGAATCAGCAATGCCGGTGTGGCATTGGTATCACCCCCACACCAGGCAGCCAACGGAATGGCTAGCTTTGCTTGTAGCATCTTGGGAACAGCAGCATCAACTCAGGGCAGGGGACCACCCAAACATGCTAGCGAAAGCCTGATTGGAAGGGAAGGTGCCAAGAAATTCTACTGCACAGCAGAATCGCCCTGCTGATGCTGGGACTGAAGTCTGCTTGTGGGGGCAGCAGCTGCTTCCAAATTAATCTGCTTAGTCTTTCCCCTGTTCCTCCTCTCCCGGCTGAGTCTCATGGTCCTGGGCTGGTGACACTCGCGCTCCATTCAGCCTGCAGGCAGATCTGTGGAACGCCGTCTTTGCCCGATAAAAATGCGGTAAAACCAAAGCAGCTTTTGAGTTCAGCAAGACCCTCAACTGACCCCCATCCCGCCCAGGTCGGCTGTCCCCAAATCAACGTGACGTATAAACATTTTGCCTGGCAGCGAGTTACGCTGAACCCCCAGCGCCACCCTTCTGGAGCAGAAAGCTCACTCCTGCTGCCATTCGGAAGGTGGGCGATGAACTAGGACACAGCCTCTTTTGAGATTCCTCTAGGAATAACGACTAGCCTCTGGGATGTGTCCTGGAGATCAGGATGTCAGACCCATAACCATCCTATATCTCCTGGGATAAAGAGAACTTTGTGGGACACTGGAAGCTCCCATAAAGCATAGGGCCAGCTGACACCGAAACCAGATTCTCATCCTAATGGGCTACCTGACGCTTTCCTAGCCCGTAGGTGGGCCCCTGGCTGCAGATGAAATTGTGACAGGATCTGATACCACCTCTCATTACCATGCAGGCAAACAGAACCTCCCACTCCACTTAGCAGCAGAAGCTACTTTCTGATGATCTGCTTTGGGACTGAAATTTAGACCTTGGTTTGGTTTGGTTTTTTTAAATGCTTAGGCCCGAGGCAACCAGCACTGTCTCTTTAAGATAAGCAGAAGAGGCAGTACCAAATAGGACCTTTTCCTGGGTTTACAGTTAAGGGATATTGTGAAATCATTTGTATATATATATATTTTGGCTTTCACATGACATCAAAACACACCTCCCATTCCCTTCTTATGTTAAAGACACACAGTGCATATACAGACAGGAACAGGCTGGCCCCACCCTCCCTGAAGGACCCTAATACACACAGCTTCCTCCACTTATTCCCCTTTTGCACTGAACCCAGCTTAGAAAGAGGGCACCTGGGAGAGATCTCGGGACAGATCCCACCTGCCTGCATCCAGCCTGAGAGCTGGGCTCTGGCGCGCTTTGCCATGACGCCACACAGGCGGTGGCAGGGGACGACACGTTCAGGCGACATCCGACGCGCTCTAAAAGGCTGCTGGTTAAAGAAGGCATTGACGCCCCCTGGAGAGCGTCTCCTGATTGTTGAGCCGCACAAGGAGGGACTTTGTAGTTCAAAGCTGAAGGCTGTTCCTTCCACACACACACCCCGGGCCTGGTTCGTCTCCATTGTAAAGAGTCTCAGTCCTTTGCCTGGCCACTTTCCCACAGGGAGGAGGGCTGGCGCTGATGGCTTGGAGTCGGCCCCCCCTTCACTTGGCAAGTCGACAAGACAATCAGCTGATGGTCTCTTCTCTTACAGCTGCTGCCACTTCCCCATCCCCCTTCCAGCACTTAGCAAGAGTTGGCCCGTCCTTTCGTTTTCCAGATTACCCCCTTCAGAAAAGCCACGCTCAAAAGGTAAGCGTAGAACCCTGCAGGAGGAAGGTAAATGTACCCTGTAGAGCCCCGGCTCCACGGCATGGCTCTTTGGTCCCCCTCTCCTGGTGAGACCACTTAGAGTGGTTTGTGCCTCCCAGCTAACAGAGGCCCATGCTTTAGATCCCCAGGCTCGAGCCCTAGCAGGGGAACGTGTAACGCTTGACTTCAACAGGAGCCAACGCGAAAAAAGAAAGAGGATGGAGCAAATGAAAGGGCTCACACCCTGTCCACCTTCAGAGGCCTCACTTTGGTGAAGAAGCTGCCTGGCCCGGCTGGTTCTGTCCATTTCTTCCTCTAGAAACAATCCCATTTAGTGCAATTGAACCTTCCGTTTCCCAAGGGTGGCAGGGGAGATGCCAGGACGCAGGTGGCCGGTTCTCCTCTGGCAAATGAGGTTAGTAAGAGAGCTACCTACTGGCTCTTTACACGTGATCCCAAGCCCTAGCAGCTAATCATATGCAGAAACTTCCTTTTAAAGTCTTTTGATGGATAGTGCTTTGTACTCATAGGGAAGGGGATATAAATTAAGCTACTCTGCCTAGATACCGTTAGATACCAAGAGCTTGTGTCTCACACGGGACAGCCAGGGTTCCGAAATAAAAAGGGACTGAAATGAAGCAGGCTTCACATCTGCCTGTTCCCGGACCCAACCGGCCTCCTGGCAGGCCCTGACGCTACCTTGGAGAAACAGGAAATTCTAGAAAAGAAGAAAGTCGTTCGTGTGGCTGACATATTTGTGTGACACAGAAATGCACGGATCACAGCACTCCCTGTGCCCTGCCCCACTTCTGCCCACTTCCCACTTCTGGGATGATTTAACTGGGAATTGGTCCTGCTTTGAGCAGGGGGTTGGACTAGATGACCTTCAGGGGTCCCTTCCAACCCTGATATTCTATGATTCTATGATTCTCTAGCACTCACTACATGTTACACTCAGGAGCAAGAGAAGGAAGGAGCTAGGCGTGTGATGGCCGACGTGTACATGGTCAGATCCTGTGAGGATGAAGGGCACGGATATATGCATACGGCGGGGGGGAAATAATGCCCGGCTGCAGTCAGCGAAGCTGGGCTAGTGGGGCTGGGGGAGGAGGTGGGCAGGGGCAAGGCCTAGGGAACAGTTAGTCACAAAGTGCTCACGGCAGGATCCTGGGGGTGGCCGGGCTGAGACGGGCAGGGTTCTCTCCTCCCACCTGCCCCCCTAGGGGATCTGAAAGACGTTGAGTTTGCTAGTGTTTTTGAGTGTCTGTCGGCGGTTGCAGAACCAGACCCGGACGACCTCGCGGTCGTAGTTGAGCTCCTTGGCGATCTCGGTGATCTCCTGGCCGGTGGGCAGGGCGTTCTTCTCGAAGTAGGCGTTGAGGGCCTCGATGGCCTGGGGCGTGAAGGAGGTGCGGCGCTTGCGTTTCTTGGAGGGCTCGCCGCCCACAAACTCCATCAGGTTCTGCTGCCCTTCCTGGTTCCGCAGCTCGGCCTCGCTCAGCCACTTCTCCAGCACGGGCTTCAGCTTCTGGGCGCTCTTGGGGGTGATGTCCAGCTTCTCAAACCTGCAGGCAGGGCGGCGGGGAGGGAGAGAAGGCGTGAGGGTCCCGCCCTGCGCCAGGGGTCTGGCACAGACAGAAGCAGCAGTGACCAAACTCTGGGGGGTGGTGGAAGGGGCATAAGATCAAGCCGGTTATGTGGTCACGTGCCGGTGGTACGGTAACAAACACGACAACGGAGGCTAGTGAGAAAAGAGGACTCTGAAATGGGATGCAGGCATGGACGCACGGTTCTGGGGGATCCTCAGGAATCTAGGTCTGCCCACAAAGAGGGGCCAAAGCAGGGCGCTGGGAGACTGGACTCCTGGGTTCTTTTCCCAGTTCTGGGTGGAGAGTGGTCACAGCAGTGGGGATGGGGACTCGGGACTCCGGGGTCCTATTACCAGCTGTGGGAAGGGGTGGGGTCACTGACACCCAAACCGAGGCCCCACCCCGCCCCTTCTCCCCGAATCCCATCCCTTGCGCCACCCCTTCCCGAGGCCCTGCTCCCACATCGCCTCTTCTCCCAAGACCCCACCCCCCCCTCACTCCTCTCTGCCCCCTCTTCCCTGTGTCGCTTGCCCTTATGGCTGGAAAAAAGCAGGGGGCCATGGCGCACCCCCCCCCCCAGCCCAGCATCCCTGGTGTCATCTAAAGGTTAGAGGGGGAGTGGGAGTCGTGAATCCTGAGTTAATTTGCCAGGACTGGTAAAGGAGTGGGAGTCAGGCTGCCTGGATTCTATTCATAGCTTTGGATGGGGCCTGGGGTGTACAGATTACTGAGAGACAGAACTCTTGGGCTCTGTTCCCAGCCCTGGGAGAGAAGCGGGGTATAGTGGTTAGAGCAGGCAGAGGGGCCCAGGAGTCAGGACTCCTGGGTTCTATATCTGGCTTTGGGCGACCTATACAAGTCACTCCATCTGTGCCTAGTTCCCCTCTCTATTGGGGGCATTAGTGCTTGGCTGAAAGGAGAGTGTTATGAACACCGGTTTTGGGGTGGGCAGGGCCGGGTGCTGCTGTCCTGGCTCAGGGGATTCTCCCAGTGAAGTCAGTGGGTTCAGAAACGCTTTCTCTCCTTTCGGCTGACTCAGTTTCCTCTTTGCTTTTTCAGGGGAGGGAGTCACCTAAACGCTACACAGCCGAGCGGCGCCCTAGCCAGTGTCCGCCCCAAACACCTGAGCCCCGTAACAGGGCCGGCACCGAACACAGCCGCTTACCTGCAGATGGCAGACTGGCTGTAGGCAGGTCCTTCCGTAGCCGTCAAAGCTTGACCCACCTGTGTCTGCGTCAGGCCCAGAGACAGACGTCGGATCTTAAAGTTCTTGGCAAACTCCCGAATCTCCTCTAGGTTGATTCCATCCTCCTCGATGCCCGTATTAGGAGTTTGAGGCTCTGGGGTAGGGAGGGGAATACCGTTATGAAGTGCAGTGCGCTCTGTATCATCACCTCCAGCCACAGTCCATCTCCTCTCGCCTCCAGGGAGATCTCGAAGTGGGAGCAGACACTGTCCATGACTGGCGGCATTCTGGTAGCCTCACCCTATGGTTAGGGCCCCACTGGGCTGACGGACAGTCTCTGCCCCAGGGTGCTTACAGTCTAAATAGACAAGCAGTGGAAGGGGAAACTGAGGCAGAAAGAGGGGAAGTGACTTGCACAGAGGAGGCTAAAAGAGAACCCAGGTCTCCCAAGGCTCAGACCAGCACCACATCCGCAGGGCCATACTGCCATGCTAGGGGAAGCAAGTCCAACATGCGACTTGACTCGTTCCAGAGTGCTTTGTGTCTCGGGCAGCAGCTCGTCGGGGCTGGGATCTGCCTGATGCAGGGCACTGGCGTCGCTACAGAAATAACAATACTAACATTGCACTGCTTCGCAATGTCTGATTCGCTCTTTAAAGGCTTTTTCCTCCCCACCAAAAATAAATGCTTCCACTTTGCTTTGTTTTATAAACAAATCGGAAGTTTCACCCAGCACGCCAGCGACCCTACAATAACAACCCAGCGTGTGTGCGCACAACACTGACTCCGTGTCCTGTACTCTCACCATTAGAACCTGCTTCCTCTCCTACAATCACCGGGAAGGGATAAACCTCAGGGGTCACATCACACACTCTCCAATTCTATTCGACATTGGTGAGGCCTCATCTGGAGTACTGTGTCCAGTTTTGGGCCCCACACTTCAAGAAGGATGTGGATAAATTGGAGAGAGTCCAGCGAAGGGCAACAAAAATGATTAGGGGTCTGGAACACATGAGTTATGAGGAGAGACTGAGGGAGCTGGGATTGTTTAGCCTGCAGAAGAGAAGAATGAGGGGGGATTTGATAGCTGCTTTCAACTACCTGAAAGGGGGTTCCAAAGAGGATGGCTCTAGACTGTTCTCAATGGTATCAGATGACAGAACAAGGAGTAATGGTCTCAAGCTGCAGTGGGGGAGGTTTAGATTGGATATTAGGAAAAACTTTTTCACTAAGAGGGTGGTGAAACACTGGAATGCGTTACCTAGGGAGGTGGTAGAATCTCCTTCCTTAGACGTTTTTAAGGTCAGGCTTGACAAAGCCCTGGCTGGGATGATTTAACTGGGTATTGGTCCTGCTTCGAGCAGGGGGTTGGACTAGATGACCTTCTGGGGTCCCTTCCAACCCTTATATTCTATGATTCTATGATTCTATGATTCCTGCGAAGGGAGTGCAAGCTGCCTGCCCTCTCCCCCCGCAACCAGCATGAAATGGACAGGACCCGAGAGGTGCTTACTGGAAACGAGTTGGCTCACTGTCGGGGTCTCCGAGCAAGTGATGGGAACAGGCACGGAAGAGGGCTTAGCAGCAGGGGCTGGGTTTGCGATGACCACAGCTGGCTGGGGCAGAGCAGGGGCAGGCTGGATTGGCTGAATCTGGTAACACAGCAAAAAACAAGGCTCAGATGAGGGCCATACAAGTGCATATAGTCCAGACGGATGGAGAGTGTTGTGGCAAGCTCTCTGCTGCGGTAAAGCCCTGGCCACCCACCCTGCCTTTGCATAGGGGACAGAGCACAGCTCTGCTACGCTGATTCCCCGTTGGCATATGGCCCATGCATTGGTGGTGTATGTAAAGCTGCCCCCATGCTATTCTAACTCATGCCAGGGTCACGGCTGGCACGGACTGGATCTCCGGTCTTCCCCTGGGCTGAATGGAGCTTGGCTGCAGGACAGAATCTGGCCCGTAGACAGGCAATCTGCACAAGTGAACTGCAGCCAAAGCAGATGTCTCTTCAATTCCAACATGCCAGGGCCGCCAGACCTGGCTAATTGGTGTCCTAAACAGTGACCTCTGGCATTGGATCCGGGAGCTGCCCCCTTGGGGCGACCTCTGGATGGAGCTGCCACCTCGACTCCTTCCAAGGGGAGAGGTCAGGCTCAGTCTCTGAACATCCTAACGAGGCACTGGAGAATTCAGCAGGGTGCTAGGTCCTGGCGGAGGCTTCAACACGTTGTTTAATGCACAGTACGTGGATCTGTAAAGGGCCAGTGCCCAAGTCACCAACCTCCCCAGGCTTCTGGGAGCTGCTGGCCAGCCACAGACACCAGTCGGCTGGCTCTCCGAGAAGGTGCCTGTTAGACAGCCGTCACCCGCCGTTCGGAACTCACCTCGTTCTTTGCTGGGGACTCTGGGGCGCTGGGTTTCCTGATGGCCGCCGTCTGGAGGGCGCTGCTGGCTAATGTAGCAATGACTTGCCCTTGGGCGTTCAGCAGCAGCTGCGGGGTCACCGCCTGCACCTGCAGGTTCTGGGCTGGCAAAACAGCTGGGGTGGCGCTGGCCGTCGTGATCCCAGCCGGGTTCACCACCCAGGGCAGCGTCCCAATGACCTGCAGAGGAGACAAGAAAGGGAGCTGGGTGCGTGGCACACCAATACTCTTCCCCGCCTCCCGTCCTGCAGGATGCAGTCCCCCCCTCCCGAGGCTGGATACGGGACACTGGATGGGGTGGGCCAGTGCTCTGGGGTGGTGCTGAGAATTTCTCTTTCAAGGGCTTGGCTGGCTGGTTCATGCTCACACGCTCAGGGTCTAACTGATGGCCATATGAGGGGTCGGGAAGAAATTTCCCCCAGGTGACCTTGATTTCACCTTCCTCTGCAGCACGGGGCCCGGTCACTTCCTAGGATCATCTGGGCATACCTCACTTAATCGGTTCCCCGCCACCGCATGGGCCCTGGGCACTGCTGGCACAGTTGGGTCACCTGTGGGCTGCCACATGTGGATCTAATTCTGGTTGAGCGTGCGGGTACTGGGTGGTCTGTGATGCACAAGAGGTCAGACCAGCTGATCTGGTGGTCCCTTCTGGTCTTGAACTCTGTGACTAACTCTCCTGAGTGACAGCTCTCGGGAAGGGAGAGGGTGCCCATAGGAAGGCTTTACGAGTGGCAAGGGAAGGTTATCCTCCTGTTGTCTTCTGGAGCCCGTCCCCACATACCTGTCCCTGGGCATTGGTCAGGATCTGACTCGTTATCCCTTGGACGCTGGGAATGGTGTTCGCGATCACCGGGGCGGCGGCCAGCGAGCTGAGGAGCTGGGTTTGCCCGCCGAGAGAAGCCGCACTGATCTGTAGAGAAAACAGGAGTCGGAGGTTAAACACACGCACTCAGCCATGCCTCGTTCAGTGGGGAAACCCCACTCTGGCTCCCTCTTAGAGGGAGGAATGGTCTAGCTGCCTTAGGTACTTATCTGGCCCCCATTATGGAAGTATCTCGACACTTCACAATCTTTATTGTGCTCATCTTCACAAACCCCTTTAAGCTAGCTAGCCCGGGTAACCGTAGCAGCGGGACAGAGTCTGGGGCTGGCAAGCGACCTGAATTTGTACCCAGCGTTCCCGGCGGGCTTGTACTTGGGCAGTTGGGCCACGCGGCCTCATCTACACTATTACTGTGCTAGCTAGATCAAAGTTAGCGCAGGGACACCTCCGCACGCTGACAGTCACCGCTTCATTTGTGCCCTCAAGGACTTAGCCACAGTCAGGCAGGAAGCCTGGGAGACTGCAAGGAATTGAACCCAGGCCTGCAAAGTCCCAGGCTAGCACCATAACCACTAGACCATCCCTCCTCTTCCAGGTACCATCCTTCAAGGAGGTCTCGCCATCCAGCCTGCCTCTGCTCCGTCAGTGACGGCAGCCGGCCCAACCCAGCAGCTGCTCCCCTACCAGAGCCCGTGTCCTTTCTCCCGACCCGCATGGGAAAAATCCTCGTCAGAATGATTAATAACAACACCTGGCTCATACCACCAGTAGCTCTCAGAGTGCTTTACAAAGGGGGTATCACCAGCCCCACTTTTATAGATGGGGAAACTGAGGCACAGAGTGGCAAAACGACTTGCCCAAGGTCCTCCAGCAGGTCAGTGGCAGAGCCAGGAATGGAACGCAGCTCTCCTCCCTCCCAGTCCACTGTTCTATCCACTAGGCAACACTGCCTCCTGTTCTGGGCAGGTATAAATGATGACGCAAGGGGCCAGAATCAGGCCCCTTTGTGAGCTGCTCCGTCAATAAAGAATGCCCGACGTCAGGCCAGCCAGCAGGGATTCCTGACCACGCAGGACAGACAGCTCGGCTCCCAGAGGTTCTCTGGAGCGTCACACCAGCTCCTTACTATGCCAGGGTTAAAGGCAAATCCCGCAGGCTGGACTGTGATTTGCGTCTGCGTCTCCAACGGCTTTCCCGCGGGTGGCGGTGGGGCGGCAGCGGGCTGGGGCAGGATGGCCGGTGGGCTCTGGAGCGAGGGCTGCGGCTGGAACACGGCCTGCGTTTGGATGGAGGGCCGCGGCTGGACCGTCTGCGGAGCCTGCAGTGGCTGGGCAGGCTGCACGGGAGTTGGCACTGCCGTGTTCAGCACCGCAGCAGCTGAAAGCAGAGCAGACACAGGGGACACTGAATAGCCGTAATATGCCTCTCTCTTTGCACCCCCACTGCCCGTCCCTGCAACAAATCATCATCGTAATACATAGCCTCATGCAGAGCCTTTAAACTGAGCCCCCACCGGTCCCGCGCGAGCCCTTCTTATCCACCCACCAGCCCTGGCCTCTGTTCCGTCCTTTGGATGCCTGGCACTTGAAGTGGACAAAGGAGAAGGGTGCATGGAATCCAGCACAGGGCGGGCTGGCAGAAGACCAGTTGCCAACTCTGGTGGCTTTATCACCCGTCTCATGATTTAGGGTATTCACCCCATGGAGCCCCAGCTCTTGGGGTCACGGAACTACGGAAGAATCTCAGCTTTCGTCTAAGAAACTGGACGTATGATTCTAGCCCCCACGGCTGCAGAGAGAAGCTGGGAAACATCCCTAGCGCTTTGTAACTGTAGGTCTCAAAGCATTTCCCAAAGGAGGCCAGGATCATCACGCCCCCATTTTACAGATGGGGAAACTGAGGCACAGGGCAGTGACGTGACATGCCCATGGTCATCCAGAAAGCCAGCGGCCGAGCTAGGAAAAGAACCAAGGAGTCCTGAGTCCCAGCCCAATGCTCTAGGTATCTCACAAGTCAGTTCTTGTATCGAGGCCTGTGCGTGACCATGGGCAGGGCTTGCACGGATATCCAGGAGTGCAGGGCACCGGAGTTCCATCCACAGCCATCACAACACAAGGGGAAAAAAAAATCTCTAACGACTAGAAGGCCAACAAAACTGGCATATGGCTTGGGCACGATCCACGCCACCCTCCCCTCCCTCTGTGCTGCCTGTCCAGACATCCAGATGGCCCTCAACAGCCTAGTGTCAGAGCATCTCACAATCTGTAACACACTGACCACACAACTCCCTGTGAGGGAAGACAGCGGTATTATCCCCATGTTACAGTTCGGGGGACCAAGGCACAGGAAATCCATGAGTGAACCAGGATGTGAACCCAGTTCCGCAGAGTCCCCATCTGCTGCCTTCTCCGCCAGACCATCATTTAGGAGCAGCTTCTTGTTGAGAGGCAGATTCATCCCCCCTGCACCCCTTTTTGGAAGGGAGCTGGCAAAGATCAAAAACCCTGGTCTGTCTAACAACCCCAGAGCCTGAAAGGTCCAATCTGGATCCACCCTTAACTCTGTAAAGGGAACCAAACTGGCCATCGGGCCGAGAACACGCACAGCACCAACTGCAGGATTAGGCAGCGTGAGGGAGCCAGCCCTTCGGGGCTTCAAAGCAATTAGACACATTAGCTAAACACGGCTCTACCAGGAGACAGGTCAGCGTTAGTCTCCTAGCTCTGCACCAGATGAACCAAGAGGGCACCGTTCACCCCTGTGGCAGCATGAGGCCTAGGCACTGCTGAAGCCTTTTGGCTTACGTGGTATACGAGCCGTGTGGACTGAAGCGGTGCCTAGACCTCATGCTGGCCCCCTGCGCGCGGTGGATTTCACCCAGAGAGCAAGCATGGCTTCCGCACCGACCCAGCAGTAGACTCAGAATTTAAATGCAGATCCTGGCCTTGTGCTCAAGAGCACTGGCCCATGCTTCCTCCCAGACACAGAGAAATCAGTGTAACCTTCCCTGCCCAGCATGAGCCTGCAGTCCTTATGCATGCAAAGCCAGCTGGAGCCAATGGGAGCTTTTGCCTGCAAAAGAACAGCAGATTCAGGCCCGGGGCTTGCAGCTTTACACTGTTCCCAGGCCAGGTGGACTTTGACTCAGCACAAGCCATGGAACAGGGATAGCTCAGTGGTTTGAGCTTTGGCCTGCTAAACCCAGGGTTGTGAGTTCAATCCTTGAGGGGGCCATTTAGGGATCTGGGGCAAAATTTGGGGATTTGTCCTGCTTTGAGCAAGGGGTTGGACTAGATGACCTCCTGAGGTCCCTTCCAACCGTGGTATTCTATGACATTTGACACGACCAGGGATGCTCTAAGGCAGAGGAGTGGCCGTTACCTTGCAAGTTGGCTATAGGTGGTTTGAAAATTCCCCCTGTAGGAGAAGCAGCCGTCAGTCCGGGAAGGGCAGCGACCGTTGCTGTAGGAAATGTCCACACAGCCAGCCCCTGCTGACCAGCCACTTGACCTGCAATACTGATGGGGATAAGAAGAGGTTGAGTAACTGCCCCTGCTGGAACCATTACTCCTGTCACAACTGTTGCTAAGTTTTCCTGAGTCAAGACCTGCAAAAGTAAACAAGATTTAAAAAAGAAAAGGAAAAAAAAATCAACGCCACTCCAGACAGCACCAGCCGCGTTAGCGAGCGCACGCGGTCTTTCCAAAGGCACACTTTGCCCCAGCCAGGGGGAGCCTGCCTGAGCCATGTGTGGGCATGGGATCGCTCCCGTCTTAGCAGCTGGGTTCCAGCTGAGTGGAGCCCCCCCGGAGGCTGGTTGTCAAATCACCACCAGAGGGGGACTTTTTTTTTCCTTAGTGCAACCCTACAGAATCATTTCCAGCAGCAGCTCAACGCCACGGGGCCTTCTGTGGCGGGCGCTATACGGAGGAGTGGCCAGGGATGGATCAGGACACAGAACCTACACTCCATGCCTAGGCGGGTTGTTTCATTCAAACCCCACCCCACCACCGGGTGCTATCCCACTGGGCAAGTCTCTGTGCAAAACACACAGCGCTGTTTCAGGGACCATTAACAACCGATACACGCCGGGGAGCGTTGGAAGAGCGTGTGTGAATCCCACATGTAGGACACAGGAGAAATACCCCGCGCTCTTCCCCCTGCTCGCCGTCCGCATTTGCTCCCTTCCCACGCCCATCCGTGTAACTGCCGGGTAGTTACCTGTGGCGCGGCTTGCACTGCCAAGGGAGTTAGGGTTTGGGTCGGCTGGCTCGTTGCTGGGCTGAAGGTGGTGACAGATGAGACGCTGGCGGGAGCTATTCCAGGCAGTGACTTTACTTCACCTTGAGAGGAGGAAATAACACAACGTCAAGTGACCCTGTCACTTAAGTGTAATGACAATAACAATTATATAGGGCTTTTCAACTACAGATATCCAGAGCTGCATCATTACCCTTATTTCACAAATGGGGAAACTGAGGCACGGGGGGGGAGGGAAATGACCTGCCCAAGGTCACTTAGCAAATTAGTGGAATGCTGGATGCAAAGTGGGGTTTGGGGTGGAGGCTGACAGCTCGCAACCCCCCCCATATAATAACCTCGCGGCCCCCTGAGGGGTCCCGACCCCTAGTTTGAGAACCTCTGCCCTACCCCAAAAGAAGCTGAACATCAGAACAGCCATACTGGGTCCATCTAGCCCAGTATCTTGTCTTCCAACAGTGGCCAGTACCAGGTGCTTCGGAGTAAATGAACAGAACAAGGTAATGTATCGAGTGATCCATTCTGTCATCCAGTCCCAGCTCCTGGCAGTCAGAGGTTTAGGGACACCCAGAGCATGGGTTGGGTCCCCAACCGCCTTGATTAATAGCCATCGATGGACCTGTCCTATAACCCACTTATGCTTTTGGGAATTCACCACATCCCCGGTTCACAGGCTGACTATGAGTGGTGTGAAGAAGTGCTTCCTTTTGTTTGTTGTAAACTGGCTGACTGTTAATTTTCAGATCAGGTGACCCCTGGCTCTTGTGTTTTCATTTTACAAAGCAGATCAGGATCCTTACCCCCATTTTGCAGATGGGGAAACTGAGGCACAGAGCAGGGACACCACTTGCCCACGGTCACTCTGGAGCTCAGTGGCAGAACTGGGACTGGAACTCAGGCGTTCGGAGTCCCATGCCGGCGCTCTATCCACTAGGCCATCCTGCCTCCCAGTTGGTAATGCCTAACATACCCACTGTTCTGAGTCTCGGTCACCACCACCCTGGTCTGGCCACCTCAGCCGTGCATGGAGGCAAGGTGACACCTTGTGGCCAGACATAGGCATTGCAATCCTGTGACCTGGGACGGCAGTAGAGTTCCGAAAAGGCACCGACATTTTTTGGCACAGACTGCGTTAGTGAGCACCACCCTCCCATTGCTACCCCTGGGTAAGAAAGACTGCATCACAGCTACATTACATGCACCCTCCTTCTCCTCCACCTTGGACGCTAAGGCCAAAGTCATTTTCTGCCCAAAGGAGCTGACGATTGTAGGATAACAACACTATCTTTGCAGCTGTGCCCAAACTCATAACTTACCAAACTGAAACCCAAGAATACTTCACCCACCACTGAAAGGCAGCCACCTCTGGGGTGGGACGCAGAAGCTGTTTATCAGCACATATCAACACTCCAGAACATCCTAGGGCAGGCAGGGAAGAAAAATCCCGCACCCCTACACTGCTTCAGCCGTTTGCTTTGGGTATGTCTACACTGCATACTAAGCCCAAGCTCTGACTCAGGTCTGAGCCCAAGCCCCTCTTGTGTGCACACACAAATCAGTGTGAGTTGGGGCAGGCAAGCCCTCAGGACACCGACAGCTCCGCAGACGCTGCTTGGGTCCCACTGTGACTCAGGTCCAATTCCTGTCATTTTGCAGTGTGGATGCAGATGAAGCCGCAGCCCACCCTCCTCTCTAAGGTCCGGATGGTAAAGAATATGGCACATGGAGAAAAAGAGACTCCCTCTAACCCTTTTTATGGATTACATCAAGGAGCGTTCCTTGCTGTTACTGTCAAAGGGGTGGACTGGATTTGGATCTCCACAAAGAGCCAGGCAGCAACCTGGGAAGGTGCAAGCATCGTATGCAGAAGTGTTTTCTTCTGCACAACCAGCGTGTATTGATCCCACGTATTCCTGGGCAGCACGTCGCATAGGCTGGGGAAGGCTGTGCCTCCCCAAACAGCCCAGCGTGGCCCCACCCATATTCCTCCCAGAAGCCCCCTCCTGCTTGCCCTTCCCCCTTGCCCCCAGCCCAGGCAGGCTGCTTCTCTTCAGAGAAGCAGGCTGGGGCTAGGGTGGCTGGGACTTGGGGTGGCTGGGGCTGCCCACCACTGGATTAGAAAGTGAATTGAAATTGGGAATATATTTTTCAGGGGAGCTTTTGGTGGACTCAGGAGGTTTTCTAGGTCTTGGGCATTTTCCTAATCATTTGCCCTAATCAATGGGTGTGGGGTGGGGGAACAGTGAAACAGCACAGTGTAGAGGACCTCGTACCAGTTGTCCCTCCACACGTGGTCTCTAGGTTTGCCTGCACATCTTCTCTTCCTGGTTCACTTGTTTCCACGGGGCAGCTACTTGCGACCTCTCCAGCTGTTGGTTCCAAAGCTTTCCCATCATCCTCTGCTGGAAGTGGGGCGTCCACTCCCACCTCCAGCACTCGGATAGTCTCATGACTCGACATCACAATGACCTGGAAGCAGACAGCAAAGCGTAAGTAAGATCTCAACGGGCACAAACCCTGAAAGAGACAAACAAGAAGAAGGCATGATTCTCTGGGCTTCACATTCTCCATCCACAGCAAAAGGCAGAGCTAGACTGGATCCATCTATCTATCCATCCATCCCTATACACATCCATCCATAATCCATCCCCATACATAGCTGTCTATCCATCCATCCCAAACACATCATCTATCTGTCTATATATCTGTCTATCCAACCATCCCCATATCTAATCTATCTATCTATCCCATGCACCCCCTCTATCTATCTATCGAATCTATCTATCCAGCCATCGCCATACATGTCTGTTTATCCATGCTCCTCCTCTATCTATCTAACCCATGCACCCCCCTCTATCTATCTCTATCTATCCCCATACACATCTGTCTGTCTATCCAGCCACCCCTGTATCTATCTGTCTGTCCGTCTAATTACACTAGGCTCAGCTGTAACTTTTTCATCACCATTGCAGTTAGTCACAAACAGCCAGGCCAGATCCTCAGCTGGTGTAAATCAGCTGTAGCTCCATTAGTCACCGGGCCACAGCTCCAGCTGGTGTGAGCTCGCATAGCTCTGCTGACTTCAACAGGGCAGCCCCTCAACTGGTGTGAGTCAGCACCGTTATATTGAAATCAATGGGCCGAAGCCCCAAAGGGTGTAAATCAGTGACGCGCCTCTGGAGCCAATGTTGGTTTACACCCGCTGAGGATCTGGCCCTGCATACGCCCGCAGTGTTAGAACGGCAGGATAGTCCCAAGCCCGACGCCAGGCTCAGCTGCCACAAACCTGTGGAAAGAAACCAACGTACTTGCTCGTTAACCGTCAGGGAAGCTTCCTGGGGCTGCACGTCCATGATTGGTCACTGCGCGCTGGGCGGAGTGGGGTGGACTCAGACTCTCCACATACTGCAAGCAAGAAGACAATGGTCACAAGAGCGTCTGCTACTAAACCGGTGTCACACCTGCCATGGGGTCAAATCTTGGGAGAGTTGAAACAACATGCACCCTTGCGTTTCACACGCCGTAGCCGCACGGGAACTGTCCCGAGACCAGCCTCCCTTTGCACGGTGGGGTAGCTGTCAGAGCGAGACACAGGCAGCCTGGCTTCTCCATACCACTACGCCTTGTGGAGCCGTTCACACCCGTGCAAAGCGGGTGTTAAAACACTCCTCTTCCGAACCAGTTCCGCTTTGCGACGGGTCACTGACTGCAACAAATGCAGGGCAATGGAAGGTCAAGTGCTGGGAGGTGCTCCACCCCCCGGCTCCACCCTGAGGCCCCGCCCCCACTCCGCCCCTCTCCCTGAGGCCCGGCTCTGCCCCCTGCTTGAGGTCTCCCGTCCTCCCCTGAGCGCTTCCTCACCAGCCGCCCAACAGTTGATCGGTGGCCCCAATGGGTGCTTGAGTCCCGGAGCACCCACACCGTTGGCGGCTATGGTTTGGAGCCAGGACTCCTGGGTTCTACTCCCAGTTCTACCACTAACTTCCTTGGGAAGGGGTTGGTATGTCAGAGTCCCCTTCTCTATGCTGGGTGTGGGAGGCGGGTGAGCTAATATTGATCATATCTCACAAGGCGTGTGTGTCTGTGCGTGAGTGTGATTCACTTAGTAAAGTGGAAGGGCTGAACAGCCAATGAGAGAAGAAAGAGGCGCTGGAGATTCCACTAGAAATACCCAGCGCCACCTCACCCCAAGCGAAGCAATGGATCAGTGCAAGAATGTCTACTGATTTTGGGAGGAGAAATCATCCCAGGAGATGAGAATCCACCAACAGAAAAGCGAAACTCACCCCTCAGGATCAAACCATTCTCCCACTCCTTGGAAAACCAGACTCATGCCAACACATTTCTTTAGGCTGGCATTTTCCTCTCCCGCTGTCCGTGGGGGTTATGCATCTAACTCCCATAAACCCGCTGAAAATTCCAGCCTTAAAGAGCAGCTATTTCCAAAGAGAACACTGCCTCTTCCCGGGGCACAGGACCCTCAAGGCTTGAAAGGACTAGTGATTTTTTTTCCTGGGTGCCTAACATGAGAGACCTAAAAAGGTCCTCTTTTCCAAAGTGGGGCCTTCAGCACTTTCTGAAAATCAGGGTCCCTTTACGACGGTCCAAGACGGCATGGATGCCAACTTTCAGCTTTTCCTGCTGTTACCACTCAAGGAAGAGATCATGGAGTCATTGTGGACAGTTCTCTGAAAACATCCACTCAATGTGCAGCAGCAGTCAAAAAAGCGAACAGAATGTTGGGAATTATCAAGAAAGGGATAGATAATATGACAGAAAATATCATATTTTTATAAATATATGTAATATATGCCTCTATATAAATCCATGGTACACCCACACCTTGAATACTGTGCGCAGATGTGGTCGCCCCATGTCAAAAAAGATATATTGGAATTGGAAAAGGTTCAGAAAAGGGCAACAAAAATGATTAGGGGTATAGAACAACTTCTGTATGAGGAGAGATGAATAAGACTGGGACTTCTCAGCTTGGAAAAGAGGTGACTAAGGGGGGATATGGTAGAGGTCTATAAAATCATGACTGGTGTGGAGAAAGTAAATAAGGAAGTGTTATTTACTCCTTCTCCTAATACAGGAACAAGGGGCCACCAAATGAAATTAATAGGTAGCAAGTTTAAAACAAACATAAGAAAGTATTTTTTCACACAATGCACTGTCAACCTCTGGAACTCCTTGCCAGAGGGCGTTGTGAAGGCCAATACTATATTGGGGTTCAAAGGGGAGCTAGATAGGTTCACAGAAGATAGGTCCATCAATGGCTCTTAGCCAGGATGGGCAGGAATGGTGTCCCTAGCCTCTGTTTGCCAGAAGCTGGGATTGGGTGACAGAGCATGGATCACTTGATGGTAACCTGTCTGTTCATTCCCTTTGGGGCATCTGCCATTGGCCACTGTCAGAGGACAGGATACTGGGCTTGATAGACCTTGGTCTGACCCAGTATGGCCATTCTTATGTTCTTCTGCTCCACTTCGAGGCCCCACTCCCACTCCACTCCTCCTCCCAAAGCCTCACCCTCGCTCGCCTCTTCCCGCACCCTCCCCTCGAGGCCCCACCCCTTCTCTGAGCACGCCCTGTCTGCGCCCTGCCTTTACTTCATCTCTTCCCACCCTCACACCTCTCTCTCCTCCCCAGCACTTCCCGCCCACCACCGAACAACTGATCGGCAGCAGGCGGGAGGTGCTGGGGGGAAAGGGAAAAGCTGATCGGTAGGGCCCACCAAACAGCTGATCGGCAGGTGGCTTTAAAGATTAGCACTGGGACTTTGGAGCAGATGTTGGGTGTGTATGTTATTATGATGTGCACTCATGTTTTAATAATATAGGATGAAATCCTGGCCCGTTAACAGCAATGAGGCCAAAATGACACCGCTACAATATGCAGTGTGTAGTAACTGGGTAGTATCCCTTTAAACAGTGTGTGGAATTATTACTGCAGGAAGGAACCTCACAGAAACACAGCGGAGTCCGAGTAACTGTGTTTACTAATTATATACAACAAGCAACCTATAGACATATACATGCTACTGGCAGTAGTCTGTTGGCTTCTGAAACATAAAACCCAGTGAGCGCCATTAGAAGGCTCACAAACTATTTAAAGGGATACTACGCAACTCCTAGCTGCTGCACACACTAAACTGTAAATGTAGCTGCCCAGCTCCCTTTAAAACTATCCCCCTAGTTGGCTCTGAGAATCACAACCTAAATATTCAAACAGATCCCAGGGGGCGCGGCCCAGAACCAATGCCGTCTTCTCCGCTACGCTCGGTGGCTTTTAATAGGTTTAGACCCTGCTGCCTGAGCGACTGAACTGATTGAGATCAGCCGAGTGACTGATCTGTAATATCTGATAAAAGTTTTTAAATCCCGCTTTGACTTCAGAGTAGCCAAACGCCATGGGATGCCGGTGCCTGCTTTAATTAACAATTTATTCCAGTGCAACAGAGAACAGAGTCAGGGGCCATCAGGTAGCTCTTCGATGCATCTGGCGTTATTAATAGTTAATTAGTTCTCCTACAGCCAGAGCACAGGAACCGGCAGGAAAAGTTGGAGCGAGGGACACTTGCTGCGCCAGGGACGTGCCGGTGGAAAGAAAAAGCAGAGAACTAAAGCTGCAAAACCTCCTGTGACGAAGAGACGAGATGAGCCGAATGTACAGTCATTCCACCAGGAAGGGAAGATCTGTGAGCTGGACAGGGTGGTGGCTAGTGACCGGTTTGCTGGTCTCCTGGCAGCGGTAAGACCTGCTGTGTGTCTCTGGGAGGAGACTGTAAGCTCTTTGGGGCAGGGACTATCCTTCACTTTATAGACCCTACCACAATAGGGTCACTATCTCACCTGGGGTTTCCAGGTTCTACTATAATGCAAATCGTAAATAACCGCTGACCCCACAAAAAGGCTCTCTGGATAAGTTAGAGCAGCACCAGGGGCTGTTCTATCCTCAAGCAGCCTTTCTCAGGTGGTACCACCACCCGGGATCCCCTTAGCACTGAGCATTATGGCTCCTTCCCCTTTCTGTCTCCTGCACCTGAACTGGTAAGAGGGGAACAGCACAATTATGCACATGGCAGCTCTTTGCTGGGGGAATTCTCCTCTGCCCTTTGCGGCTCATTCACAACCCCTCCATGCTGCTGGAGAAGCATAGAGAGACTGGAGTAGGGGGGCAGCATCGGCCCCCCCGTCAATTAGAGAACAGGTTTCATAACTAAAGCTGCAATGTTTTTAAAGGCATCGGACCAAATTCAGTCCCGGTACAGAATAACTCAGCACAGTTCTCATGCTTATCAATGGAAACTCAGCCTGTTTATGCCAGGGCTGAATTTGGTTTGTCCCAGGAGGTAGTCAAGGCAGAGAAATGTCCACTGGAGAGATCTTTTTTATCAGGCCTTGTCTACACGCAAATTCAAACTGGTTTGTTAAACTGGACACTCCGGTTTTGGTTTCAGAGTGGTTTATAACAGTTTGGTCTAAATTCCTTAAATTCCTTTAAGCTAAACCGAAATAAGCCCGTTTTCAACCAAAAATCACAGTCCACACAGGGGTTTACACTGGCACCATCAATGTGATTGAAATTCACCCCTTTCGTTACAAAGATTCAGCTTGTTCGTACAGACAAGACCCAAGACAAGCCCTGTCCCGGCTTTCTCTGCTGCGGCTGTACTAAATAATACTGTTTGACGGAGACATCTTTTGCACACAGGCATAATGAAACCTGCAGTAAAATCTTCCAGCTTTGCAAACGCAGGACGTGAATAAACAGCAATGAGCAATACCAAGGCTGCTGCGTATAGAGACCAATTAACAAGCTGTTTCTGAACAAACTCAGCAGGAACATCTGTATCGAGCTAGCTATTGAAAAATAAAAGGGTTAAGGATGTTGTTAGCTGGGCTGTTCACTGTTTGCCCGGGCACAAATTCTGTTTATGGAGGGTTTCTGTTCAATACCTTCTAAAAGCAGCCTGAAATGTTGTATCACCTCATCAGCCTAAGCAGCAGAGAGTGGAAATTTTCAGCATTCACTCAACCTGCTCTCACTGAGAATTTTCCTGCTGACTTCAATTAGAATCGGGGTCCATCCAATGCTGAACGCCTTTAAAAATCCCGTCCACAATACTTCAGCCTGGTGTACATACAGGCGTACCCGTTTCCCTGTTTAGAGTTGGGGCATGATTGTGCACCAACAGCATTAGAGTGGGATCATCCCTGGGTCGGGATCTGGTTATACTGGTGATTGTCTGCTCTTTTGGGGCAGAGCCTGTCTTTTTTTCCTTCTGTGTTTGTACAGCACCTTGCACAATGGAGTCCAGAGCCATGACTGCGGTTTCCAGGTGCTATGGTAACACAAATACATAAAATAATATAAAGATGCTCACACCTGTAAAGCTTACT